CGAGTGGGCGAGCGCCGGCGCCGACTGACAACCGCGCCGACAGCAAACTAAAATAATTATCATCATTGTCCCTGGCCACGGCGAGCGCTTTAATTGTTCATTTACATTTGCAACGATGATACCAGTTCCGAACTATTTCGCTCGCCGTTTATTTTACTCTCGCCCGTTCCGCTGCCGTGTTATTGTTCAGAGTTAATGGTCTGAAAAATAGAAATGATTCGCAATTTGTATGATGTTATTGTTGAACGTAACTTATAGCTTTATCTGGATTTCCCTGTATGGGAAGATTTATGATTGTTTATGTTATGACTTACTATATATAGGTAACTACGACGTGTTTCAGTAATCCACTTAAAAAATTCATCGAATCGATAATTTAACACAACTTCAGTATCACTCACACCACATCACATCTGAGCAATGGCCTCTTCACAAACGAAGAAGGTTTGAGCATTAATTACCAAGCGTGCTTATGGCGGATTGGCGATTTCAAACCTATGTCAGTAGTCGACCTAATGTCAGCGGTCTCTAAATAATCAAATAAAGTACATATAACGCAGAAAAAGTCACATTGGTACTAGCCAGGTTTCGAACCCGAATGAGGGTGCCCTCATGTATGAGAATCCCGCCTTAAACTCCGGGCCACCACACCGTTAGACTTACCACAATGACATTAAATAATGAAATACCTAACCGACCTACAGATAACTAAATTAACGTAGACTGGAATTTTATAAATAAAACAACGTGAGCTCTTGATACCACGTCGGAGGTATTTGCAGGCATCCTACCCCAAACTTAACGAAGGTATGGGTACGCATAACTCCCGCTAGCTCTAGCCTGTTTATTACAGAACACAATACAGACTTTACAAAAGCCACAAAACAATTTATTGTGATCGTTGTTTATATTGAAACAGTTATCAAGTTCTTGAGAGAACTCTTAAACTAGATAAAGCTACAAACTCAACTATTAACCACGTTGAACAACCCACATAGTAAATGTTTTCACTGTGTCTAAGGGGCACATTGCTAATACAAAATGAAATTACTAGAGATGCTCGCGGAGTCCTCGTCCTCCCACGGCATTAATTTGTATCAAGAATTTGTAGAGATTTAGCTTGAGCCGGGACGGCGTGTTCATCGCAGCCGGCGAGCGTTAACACTTATTAAGGGGGTGCATCCCTGCGACAGATGTAGGGGAGGGCCCGCCATTTGCGTAATGTCAGGAATGGTTACACTCGATTTAATAAAACTCCGACAGCATTTCATTCTGAAGAATTTAAGAGTCAATTCGTTTTAAACGCCACAGTAGCATAGCGAGAAAAAACCGTGAGCCGAAACGTGCCTCGAATACATTGCCAAGGCTTGGATTTCTTATCGGTAGCAATTGAGATGAGTACTTATGGCTTTTCGAGTGGCTCGGCTTCGTTTAATTTGTTGTTTCAGCGTGGAATTTTTATTAACGTCTCCCCTCACTTTACATTTTTAGGGACGTGTTCCTTATTGGCAAGTCAAGGTGAAGACAAAGTTTGGCTTCGTGTTTTTTGTTTTCCTTTGAGCACCTCCGTGCAAGGTTGTGAATAGTAAATAGATCGATGACCGTAAGGTTGTAGCCTGCAGTTTGCGGTTAACCTGTTGACTCGTTGTGGTTACATCGTGCATACCCAGCGTACGTACGTAGGTAGATGCTTATGTTGCAACCGATTAGTTATACCAGCTGCGGATAACCGGGCCGTTCATTAATCAAGTCAGTTAGTTTCTGGTGTGTAGTGTGTCTCAAGTTGCGTGAATCTGTCTCGCATATATACCGTAATGTTCAATTAGGTTAAGCTGAGACATAACGTTGTGGCTTTATGTCTCCAACGCTCGACTGCCATCCAGTTCTCACAGGGATTTTTCCTCAGGCATGATAATACGACTGCATAAAATTATAGTGTTATACTCATCTTACTTGCAAATATAATCACATTATGTCCAAGCTTTGTGACTGGGTTCAGAAATTAATAGCAACACAGAGCGTGTGTCGATCGGAAAACACAAGGGGACCACTCAGCAGATGCTTATCTACACGCGCTCTCTGCTCCGACCAAATACTGCTTCTACTTACAAGTACAATGTAAATATGTACTTATTGCTTCACTTACTATGCTGAGCTTGTACCACAATTTTATTATATTTCTTCTTGATGTTAAGGAACGTATGGCTATATAACCTCTAGTAATTTTACGATCAATGCTAAGTTTAAAAGCTTAGGTACCTACTTCCATTCAAAGTCTTCGGAACTTTCAAAAGTATCGAAGTTTTTGTTACGATTCTCTTCTACACTGCTACTGTAACTTAATAAATTATTCAAGGTTACATTTAAAGATTTCTACAAATGTAAACTTTAAGTAAAGTAATAAAAAATGCAATTTGCAATAAATATGTATGAGTAGGGGTTTCTAGGAGGACATTACATGAATACTTAGAGTAACATGTGGCGCGTAAATGTGACTAAACGTAATTAATGATCGATTGTACGCACGACCATAGAGAATGGCCCGCACCCTCCGCAAATCTTTACCGCCTCAAAATGGGTGTCCCTTGAGACTACAGCACCTTTTAATTTGCAAGTATAAGGGGTGTACCCAACAACGCTACCGTCCTTGTTATTTTTAAAATTACATATTTGGGAGAATGATTGATTTATAAAATATTGCTTTGAGAAACAACAAAGAACGGTGAGTTTCTTTTTTCACAAAGTAATTGTATCACTTGTGGCAGCAACTATTTATTCAAAAAATCATTAATTTTATGGCACAAAAATGTCACTGTAATCTGATAGGAATATGTTAAGTTAGGTACCTAAATATAATAAACATACTTTCGTAAAATAATATAATAACTTTTCTGAGGATCTGATTACGTTAAATTAAGTAGTTATGATAATATTAATTAAAATATTGTGGTTCATTTGGCCAGACGACTTTCCCTAGTACCAGTACAACCCAAAAGATGGCTCTGTAAGTAACTTGTACGAATATAGATAAACTTGATATAATTTTTACATGTACGTATAAGTTTTTATTACAAGTTTAGTAATATCTTCTTATCATTTTTTTTAAAGTAACGCATGTACATATCTACTTACAGTTATGCCTTGAAATAATTAGTGATGAATAATATGGTGTAACTTGAGTACTCTATAGGTACCATATCCTTACTTACCTAGCAAAACAAATTAAGTGAAAAAATTTAGCTCAAGGCTAAAAGTATCTATAGATATTTGACCTATTGTCCGATTTTACAACCTGGATGGAAATTCTAAACTGAATATATGGAATATATGGAAGAATCGAATTGAATTTCGTGTTGCAAAAAATCTTTGTAACTACGTGCCTATGTGGCGTGTATGAAGTAAACAAAAAATAGCTCGGCAGCATTTAGTTTTAAATATACGCCGTCGACGCGCACGCTGCGCGCGGATGCGTGGTTTATGACGTTACGGGGTACAATCCGGCCCGTGCACGTTGCGAATTTTACCCCACGCGAGTGGAACTAGCGAACAAGCATCACGTGGGCTTTAATGAAAATTTTGGGTGTGAACAGAAGCTATGTGGGGTTGTTTTTATCCAAAATAGGGCGCTATTTTGTTAAGATATTAATTAGATAGGTATGTTGATAGTCTGTTTTATGCTGTGATGGATTAATTCATCAAAGCCTAAGCGAACGCGTATGGTTATATATATATTTTATACCTATGTTTCTTCTATTGTGTATCGAATTACCACGAGTGGAAGGTTAATTGGAAAGAGTATACTGCTTTCAAAGGTTGCCTCACACTAGATTTTTTCCTGTGTCACAGACATGAACAATTGTTCTCTGCAAGAAGCGAACGCGTGAAATGTTGCACGCGCACCCGATTGCCAAGCCACCACGTCAAACGTGCAGTCTTTAACGTCAGTAATTTCACTTTGTAATCTAGGTGCCGTAAGTTACAGTAGGTGTTGTGGACATTTACTAATTTTCGGACGGTGGTGGCGGATTATCCGCCTGCTCGTACTGTCGAAATATCCCATAAAAAAAAATTATTATTAAAAAAACAAAATACCCGACTGCACACTAAAAAAAGAGTAAAACAAGCCCCACAATACAAATTTACTGAATATAATTTATAAATGTTGATGGAAAGCATCGCAGGCGGGGACCAACAGAGGCTTATTTATAGTCATTTCTGTTGTGCACCATTTAGCAGAATTTTCGTTGGTGGCGGCCAAGGTGGTCCCCGCCTGCGATGCTTTCCATCAACATTTATAAATTATATTCAGTAAATTTGTATTGTGGGGCTTGTTTTACTCTTTTTTTAGTGTGCAGTCGGGTATTTTGTTTTTTTAATAATAATTTTTTTATTTATAACTTTTTAGCTGTTTTTATTTAACGAAAATGTTGTAGATGTAGAAGACTATCGTATCCTATATTAATTACTCCCGTGATTGAAATGAATCTAATGATACCGCATACATATTTTTTTAAAGGGAAATTTAGAAAAAATATTATTATGTCTTTATCCCGTGGGACTTTTAGGATAAAATGTATCCTATGACACTCCCGTAATCAAGACAAATCTAACGATACCTCATACATCAAAATCCATCAAGCCGTTTAGGCTACAGGAGGTCACAAAGGAAAAGACATACATACATACTTACATACACTCGAAAAACATTACCCTCCTTCTTTGGCAGTCGGGTAAAAAGTAAACACATCGAGTTTGGGCTCATGAGGTATGTTTATTTCACATAACGTCGAGGGGATTTTGGTAATTAAAAACTTGTTTTCTTACAATAAGATTATTAGCAACTATATACATTGTATGATTGTATGTCACACAGTAGACAGTGTACAGAGATGTATCAGCTTATCAGCCTGAGGGTCCAAATGCTCTTACTGCGATAACATAGTCCACAGCCCCATGCCGAATTTTTAATCGGTGCCGCTGATGTCGTTTGTCTGTCGTACTTGCCCTGGGGGCTCCCGGTGCCGACTGGCGACTCCGCACTGCACCACACCGTCCAAACCCCAACGCCAATTTAAAATTCATATCATTCTGCAACCGTAAATTAGTTTTCTCCTCACTATCACTGAGCATTCTAAAAAGTTGTTTACCACACGGCCCGTTGTTCGTCACAACTTTGCCACTCTGGCTATAGATTTTTTCTGCTTTTATTGCATTTTGCTATCCGATTTTATTATGTTTAGCTTTCAGTTCATTTGTGGTTTTTACAAAAACACACATGAGTTGTAATTATGGGTAGACGAATGCAATCATAAATGTATTTGTTGCCGAAAAAGAAAGATATCGATATTGGTCCGCGGCACTGGGAATATGAGAAGGCAAGTCCGGCGTAATGTTTATTTGATACAAGTAATCGCCACATGATGTATGGAAGCGATCGGGCGCGGCGGTCGCATGCCGCGCGCCGCTCACTCATCGTCGACGTAAGGTTTATGATGATTATTCGATCTAAATGATGATTTATTACAGGATTAGGCAGGCACACGGTCCATTTTGTGGGGAGATTGGCTTTATTTATATTATAATACCATACTCACATTAAATCAGCAAGAAATCGGCTTTGTTGAATATTAATCACCATGTTATTTATAAACATAAAATTTGTGGCGGGACATCAAACTCACAAAATATTGGCTCTTTAAAGATAAATTGCCAGAAAATAACGACTCTATTTTATCAAATAAATATTCAGGTAAAATAAATAAATAGACAATTTCTAGTTCGTTCTCAGGTGTACTCTAACTCGGTTTAATTTATTATTTTGTTAAAAACAAAAGTTTGTTATCTCGCTATCGTTACTCCAGAAAGCAATTTAATATACCATCTTTCCAAGATTTAAGAATTTAATATTGGCAGCAGCTTGTTTAAATGGATGGATGCTTTTTTCGTTACCATAATTTTTAAGGCCGAGATAATCAAATTATGATTTCGTAAAATTGTGGTCTGAAATACCCTGCCGTACAAGATTGTCCCCGGCGGCTACTGTAGTAAATAACAATTATTGCAAAAGACTTCCTCCCTCTTGTATCCAACACAAAGCTAATCAAATTATAATTTCAAATTAACCTTGGTTGCAGACGACTTTATGGCTCAACAATATAATTTAAAGTATTACTTTTAATTTGTCGACAAAAACGGCTGTTTAGGCGAATCCTCTTTTTTGAAACTTCGTGATATCTTTAAAAGAGAGTTGCATCTATTATATGTGTGTGACTTATGTGTGTATGAGTATAAGTAGTACAAATAAATTACGAAAACATAAACATTAATCATAATTTGTCAAAAAATGAAGTAGCGTTTCTAAAGCGCTATCTTTATTTTTTTGTGTTAAATATTATAACGATTTGGGAACAATAATAATTGTGTTTTCCATTAGGTTTGCGGCAAAATACAAAATGCATAACTTCTAACTTTGGACAAAGAATAACAAAGACGCCATTTAAATTACTTTAATATAAGTTTGTTTCTTTGAATCGCGATGTTGAGAGGAAATTTTCGGAATTCGTCTTAAAACATTTCTTGCAAAGAAGAAGCTTCCGACGTTGGCAGGAGTTAGACGGGCCTCAACATATAGAAAGTAAAATATGAGTCTGCAAATAAACTTGCACCAAACCGCATTAAATATTGTGACCGTACAACGACCATTGAATATTCTACGAACAAACGGAACTTACTTTATAATAACTCATTTTTAACAGCTAATTATTGAGTAAACAAAAGGTGTGTTGTGATAGACAAAGAAAATGTATAATTTACACATATATATTGTTGATATTAATAAAAGTTCATTATCTATTAAAATAATATATACCTATAGACCTATTATATAAGAATACTTTAAGAATCAATCAATATACATTATTAAGAATATTGATAAAAGATTTTCTTATAAAATGTTTGCGTTTAGTGGAACGATTATTATAAAGCTTGTAGACCTATCTTAATACGTATAGAGGATCAAAAGTGCAATCATCGATAATATAGGTAACATGGCCCGGAGCGACCGTTGATTCAAAAGAAAGACAAGTAGAAAGTTTCCCGCCGAAGACATGAAATCATAGAACGATTTCTTTTACGACTTCGGTTTCAACTTCATAGCGATGAATTATGCAGAAAGGAGAGAGATTTCCTGCGATAAAAGTCGTAACACCCAAGAGTGTTCTAAAAAGAACTCTTAGAATATGATAAGGGAAACGAACATAAAATATTTAAATTTGAATTTTTTGTTGCAACTTCAGATCACCCTTAATATTTACTATAGTTTAGAACTACCCTCACTGTATCCGTTTACAATTTTGAGATATCGGTTTAAGTAAGAATTTTCATACAGTATGGATGTCCGGATATCTCAATAGCTCCTAATTTTAGTTTAATCGACTGAAATGAAGGTATGTTAGCGAGGTAAAATTAAATCCGTGGACCGATTCAGCGGACGTTTGCACTAGTGGCTAACATGGCTCAGTATTTTTTTAATTGGCATTGCAGTGCAGAATAGAAGCGAAAGCGGGTTCGCCACAGCTAGACGCAGGAGTGAGCGGGGTGCGCGGCGCGCGTCCTGAATACCTAATTGACTAATATTAGTTGCTCTGAGGGGGAACTTCCTTAGAGGTGAGCGCTAAACTTGAGACAAAGAACACGTACGAGTCTTGTAAGGGCTACTTTTTTAGTTTTAATACGCGAACTTGATCCATCACTGACTCGCTTGTCAGCGTTGAAGTGGTATGGTGCGTGAGGGGTAAGACACGATATAAATTTGTTTCGTAAAGTTATAAAAAACAAGACTAGGTACGCTTTAACTTTATCTTGACTGTTCTGGATACTTCTAAAAAGAGCTATATAAAATTTTATCATTATGACAACTTCAAAAAGACTAATATTGATTTTTAATGGCAGGTATTTTTTCGTTCCATATTAATAAATCTTCCATTGAGTAAGTCTATTGAGTGAATTACATTTAGAAGTGTAGTACAATGCTTGCGCTAAATCATTTTGAACATAAAGAAGTTGTAAGTTCGCTACGACTAGAATTAAACTAAGTTCACAAAAGGTATATTGTACCCATTTGAAGTTGCAATAAAGTACCTCGAACACACAGCACGGACTTCACAGGCGACGTAGGTTTGAAATGAAATAAATTCCATTAGCGTAATTGGTAGCAAAAGCGAGTTATAGGCCTCTGTCTCGTTTCCTGGAGCGCGCTCGCTCTCGGACTTTTTAGTCGTCGAATGCAGCTTTTTAATACCAAACTGACAATGGAATCATAAAAATATGAATCTTTATTTTAATTCCCCACAACATTGTCGTAACTTTAGAAATAAATACAGCACCAGATTTGTGAGTTGCAAAAGGCAACGCATTCTCTGAACAGTCTGAGGTTACTTTGTTATGCTAATCTTCATAATTCTTTAGGCGGAGGAAGTTTTGGCAACTTACTTTTTTGAAAATAACTTGTAATTCAGTCGTAATTTGTTACGCCGTTGAATGTTTACTTGCTTGGATAAAGTTAAAATCCACAGGTTTACAAGATTTTTTATAGCTGCGTTATTAGATAATATTCTTACTTCGTCTTTATTGATAAAATCTACGTAATGTTGGAACAAACCAATAACGCGATTAGGTACATATTGTTATTACAGTAATTATTAACTCGACAATCAGGGAACCTTGTACTGAAACTACCCTGACAGTTTTGTAAAGCTCCTGCCTTGTTCAAATTAACGAAGAAAACTTCTCGATCAAGTCCGTCTACCTGAAAACATAAAGTAAACTCCGTGCCTTCGCAACTTATCCATTAACTTAAGTAGAATCTGTAGACAGCATGAGAGAGAATAGTGCCCCGCCGTCGTGTTACAGATAGTTTGAGCGTTAAACAAAATTTATGATATTAGATTGATTGCTTGGCAGGTGTCTGTTTACTTACAAGCGCTTTGTTCGCCTTTATAAATGTTTTACTATCCAATATTGTAATTTTGCCTTCTTGTAATTTATCAAATCAAAAAGGTAATGTTTAAACAATAGCTATACCTACGACATTGAGAGCGCGACTAACGACTACAATACCAAACCTGGATGTTTCAAAAATCTCAATTCTTAATATTTTACATACCAATTTTAGAATGAGTCTTTCATAAAATTATTGAAGAGTTTTCTTTTTATCGGTTAACCAGACCGGACTTGTAAGACGCACCGTATTCTCTATGAAATCTTCATTAATTTACGAAACTTCCGACAATTTCCTTTTGACTCGGGACCCGAAAATGAAAAATTATTTCTTGAATTTTTACTTCACTTAAAATCTGCACAACGTTGTAGTCGACGACCGCTTTATTATTTATGACAAGGAACACGAAACTCATCTCGAGTTATAAACTTCTTGGAATTTCTCCTGAAGTAATACAGAGCTATTATTATGATGTCCCCACAAAAAATATTCGCTGTAGCGGGGCCAGGGTCGGCATGGGGGTGACTGTCGGCCGGCGAACCTAGTCCCGCACTTGAGCTCAAGGGGGAGACACGTCTGCACCACGTTACGTTCTCCGCCAATGTTCAATGTTAGCGGGAACCTCTTTTTAATTACGCTCTACAATGTTTATGTACATTTAAATCATGCTTTAATATAGTTTATGGATTAGGATATGATCTTATAAAAATGTTTATAAGATCATATTAAATTTTATATTTACTGACATTTTTACTGGTTTGTTTTTAATAAATGTATAATACTCACACGCTAAATCAGCAAAAACAGCTGATATCGATTTGCATAGATCGGCAGTGATTTGGTAACAGAAGATTTGGTATTTCGTTCTGTACACGGTGATCTTTTTACGACTATTCGAAAACCGTAAACTTTTATCGCGTTCCTTATCCGGGAAACACTGCATTCTAATTTATAGCACTGTTTTAGGTTACCCTAATCTTTAATAGCTTTTTGAAGTTCAAGTAAAAAATATGATTTGTAAGTTTAGTTTTGTGGTAAAATTGTTATAGTTTAAAATGTTCCAAATGTGATGTTTATATTTAGAATTATGGTAACATTTGTAATATTGGTTGGTTACATACCTAGAAACATA